AGGTGATATCAAATTCGAATTAAAATTCGAATGAATCAAAAGTTTCGTAGAAAATGAAACGAGAACTGGTTCGCTAGGGAGTCCACTGAGGTACACCTTGTATATCTTTGCTTGGCATAACACGATCCAATTCGCATTTCTCCCTTCGATTGATTGCCATGAGTTTTCCCGAATCGGGCAGAGAAATAATTTTCTCTCATTATACTCTCGCGTGATGTCAATCATTTGACCCTCGTCGCCTAATCGTATAATCCGCTCCAACAAATCAATTCGGGTCTCCGACAAAAGCACCACTTCACGCTCTGTAGCTTCTGGCAACTATGTTGATTACGGGGATGCGGAATTTTGCACAAATTTTGCTCGTGTCATTTGGCATAATATATTTTGATGCGAGACAACATCAAAGTTTCAAATTTGCTTCGTGACGATTTTGTATCCGTCAAATGTTAATTCCGGAGATTATCCACGAGTTGGCGACAACTTGTACTTGAGATAGAGCAATATATATCGTTACATAATAATATCACAAAAAAAAGAAAGAAATATACATGTACAGTGAGAATTAATGTACGTAACGTGCGGGCTTAAAATTTTCGCGCATTGAAATCTTTTCTTATTTTGCGTAATGGTTTTTAAATCAATGCGTTACAATATTAAATCGGAAGATCCATCTGCATGTAACTGATTAAATAACTCGGCCCAGGAGCTGCATTTGATTTTGAATCGTTCGGTATTACAAACGATATCGATCTACTGCTCCCAGTAAAGACATGCGCGTTAACGGAGTAGGTAACCATGGCTCGTCGTCCCATAAATTTGTCGGCATTGTTTCAAGGCGGCGCGTACATACGGCCGGCTATCAATCGGCCTTTTCGCACGGGGCACTCACCTCGTAAATTCTCACCCTTTGACACGTGCCCGATACGAATCCCTAGACCCGACGGGGACCGGGGACAACTATGGCGGTGCGCGTCGGCGCGACAGTGGCAACCCCGTTGGCGCAGAAGCTTCGCCCCTCGGGACCTGCGGGACGTTAATGAAATAACACGGGAATTAGTCTCGGACATTACCGACAAACTATGTCCATTACCGCACCCCGCGAAAGTGTAGCTCCCCATGGAAGCTGAACTTTGAGGGTTGCTGCACCAGGACAAATTGGAAAAAGGCTTAAAAAAATCAAAGTAAACGACTGCTCCTCTTTGTACGTGTGCAGTTACACTTGCGCGAAATTCATTGTTATAAAAAAGAAGGGGTCTGCTATTCGAAATTGTACATGTTACATCGGGCGTTGTAAATTTTACACGTTTCGACGAAAACGCTATACGTACGTATACATGGTATACGGTTACTTTACGAACAATATGAAAGGAAACTTTACTATTCCTCGTGTTTAATTCGTACGACTTCGCTCTTCAGTTCGATCTTACATTTTGCTTTACTCGCCTTAATATACATTCCGCATTATTTTCAGTTTTTTAATTCGCATTCATCTTGTCCGCATGATATTGTGATATTTTGCGAACATTGCGCGCGCGCTCTCGTGAATGTGTGTTGCTGAGATTTTAAGCGAACGCGCGTAAGTCGCTCAAATTGGCATGGATTTCCAGCCCAACACCTCGATTGTCTTCCCTAAAGAGTACTTCGCAGACATACGTGAAATCACGCCTCGAACACACGCGCGTCGTTGTTACGCCTCTCCCTTTCATCGTGTCTTGCCACAACACGCTTCTTCTGCGCTCCTTTTTCCCGATCTCCTCGCTTCCTTGCTCCCGTAATTTTATCGTATAATTCGTCTTCCTCTCTCCCGCCTGCGAAATCCTTTCCTTGTTGATCTCTACTTTGCTCACGCACATACCAACCCTTTCTCCCATACGTGTGTTCACCCCCTTCGCCACTCATACACGTCCCATTCCCTTTTTTTTATTCCCCTCCTTCTCTCTCCCTTTCTTTCTAGCGCACCAACCTCTCTCGTAGTACGTCGCACTTTCGCATCTATCCATTCCCCGTATAGCTGTTCTCTTTCTCTTTCTATTATTCCTATCGTATAAATTTTCTTCCCTTCATTAGCTCTCGTTCGCGAATAAAATTTCCCCTTTGTTAATTAATTTCTTATTACTTGCGTTTTGTGCGCTTTTATTTGATAAAAGTACACGGCTTTCAAAATGTTATCGGTAATCACCTGATTCTCTCTCTTTCTCTCGATTATCAAAATCTGTCAGGCCTGTATCGAGTTATGCGCGAGATACGCTTCGCATTAGGCAGCGAGTACAAATGTAAGAACAGAGGAGACTCGATTCTTTCGAGGGAAATCGCATGTCAAGTTATCGAGAAGATTCGCTCGAGTAGTGTGTTGAATGGGCCGGCGTGTCCCGCAGCCGTCCGCGTGCACGCCTTCGACCGTAAAAGAGACCCGTAGAGGACTCCTTTCAAGGAGTAACCGCAAATCCTAGTATAATACTAATAGGACCATAATAGGGTCAATAGGGCTTAGCCGTGCGACGACAATAAGATCTTGTCAAAATACGCCGGGTAACACGAGCCTAGGAAACGGATTTTTCTCAATGGGGGTCTGCCTGTCCCCCTCTACCGCATCGGCGGGGCGATGCGCATTATGGGGTTTTCAAAAAAATCTGAAACCTTCCACCCGGGTGCGCGATTGAGGTTTAAGTTTCACCACGTTCGGCAGCCGCCGATCTCGTGAAAGAAAAATGGATAGGAAAGACCGAAGAATGCCGTATCAGTCTAATACTATTGGGATTTCAAGTGAACAGTTTCGCACGTGATATACGTGGCGTTTACACCGAGTGCAAGCTCAATTTCCGGCGACATTTCTGGCGAAAATGAGATAGTTTTTGTATCTGCCACCCGATGGTGTTGTGAAACAGTTGATGTTACGACAGTGCATACACGTTTTCCATGTTGACACAGAGATCGAGTTTGAATTGAATTGAGAATAATGCAAGCTGAAAAGAAACGTCTGAAAGTCTCCCTCTCGATTATTCTACAGGACTCATTGCATCATCAAGATGAGTATTTCAAAGATCAAAGTCTCATTTCTCTTTATACAACATCTGAAAGATTGAGAAAGTTCGGAATATTTTAATAAACAAATATAATTTTATATATAAGATCTCCCTGAAAGGCGCGCACTGCTTTGCGCGGAATAAATAGTGAGTTAGGCTTGTTAAACCTTCCGTCGCGGCGGGCTGTACTTTTCTGGATTAATTTATCAAACAAACGTGCAAACTCGGGTCAAACTTGGCATCCCTATTTTAAGATGCCGGCTCGTTAAAGTCATTTGAGGGTGCAATTCCGCCACCATCATTGCCAACCTTCCCTCCGTGAAACGCGAAGTCTATCTTGCATCCACCAACAAGCCCCAACTTTCTTAGAAGGCAAATCTTTTCCAACCCCTGTTTTTCGCCACCCCAGCATCTACGTCGCGCACGGTGGGATGACTTTATCAGAACATGGCTGCGTCGTAAAGCGTCTTAATACGTCGCGTTTTTTCGCTTTAAAAAATGGAGCTTTTGCAATATTTTAAAAAAAACCCCGTTTCCTTATCACGTAGTAGAATTGAAAAAGCAATATAGTTAAAAATTATATATTTGATAGTTATTATATAATTATATAATTAATAGTTAAAAATTATAATATTTAAATTAGAAACATATAGTAGATAATTAGAAGAATATAATTATAACAACTCTTAACAAAAGTAAAAGGAATGTTTCCATAATGCTAGGCAAAAGAGTTTATATTTTACAGAGTGCCGTAGAATGTGTTAAACTAACGCAAGTATTCTTGTTTATCTTGTGTGTGTGAGAGAGAGAGAGAGAAAGAGAGAGAGAGAGAGAGTGTGTGTGTGAGTGAGTGAGTTAACCAATTAAATAATGCAAACTAGCATATGATTAATAATCTAAATTTCGTAATTTTGATTTAAAAAATTAGTTTATATTGTAGTTATGTCGAATTATTTATTAATAGTCACATATTAAGAATAAAATATGTATATGAAGTCCAGCGTAAATAGCTTAGAAAGAGTCTTTCCTTTTTCTCAGGGAGTTAATAGATAAATATTTTGAGCGTTTGTCGATTTGGATTTCGAATCGATTAATCTTGTTTTTTTAATTACTCGAACGCGACGATCCAGATCACGCGGACTTCCTTTTCTTGGAGAAAACATTATTTTTATAAGATTTTAATAAGGTGAATTACGGTTAATTCTCGCGCCACGTTTTATTAAGAGCGCACTTGAGTGAAATCATATAATATATGTTTCTGTAGGTAGAAAGAAGGATAAAGAGCATTGAGATGTGTGCAGAATGTCTTAGTGAGCAGAAGTGAAGTAATCGTCCAATTAATTTTGCACGTTTGTTAACCAAAGCTCGCGTTAACTGTGTGTACTGTACATATTCATTTAACGATACGTGAAAGCAATGCAAATTTAACGTTAAGCTATCAATTTTATTTTCACTTTTAGGCAAATGTCACTCATTAGTCAATACTTGCAAACTTATTGTCAGTAATTATTGATCAAAGCTATTTTAATTAATTAATTATTAATTGATATTTTACTGACAATGTAACTAATTCTTTTTCCTTTGTTTTAGGATTTTCGCAATCGAAAGGATCATTCTCCAATACGAGTCCAGGTGAGATTTAAAAAATGTAATATTTCTATCATATTAATACTGTTGCAGTAAATAGAAACATTATTTAGTTAACAAAAGTATATTGTGTAAATAACTTATGTAAAATATATACGTCAAGGTACATATAAATTAAGAATGAGATTTATTTTAAATTATATTAAAAAGCTAGTAAAATGTGAGTTAAAAATAAAAAGGAAGATTGATTTTAACACGAGAGAACACGAGAGTCTGGGGAAACTCATCAAAATATAACAAGATGGTGATAGAAACGTAATGATATGACATTTTTGCATTAGCGTATTTTTGCACGATTCATAGAATGCACATGAAAATTCACTCGTTACTCTTTGAAAAGCGAAAAGCGGCTATCAAAATCGTAAATGCGTTTATGCGTTGGAAATGAATTTATAATGTTTCTCGAATGGCGTTGTAAAAAAATTGATCGTGCTTGTAGGATGTATGCGATATTAATTCCATTCGATGTAATATAAAAGGAGTGTTGTCGAGTCACAAATTTTGCTTCTAAAACTGCAAACGAAACGTACTATGAAACCATGCAAGTAAAACAGACTTGCGTTGGTCTTATTAAAAGATTTATTGATCGTGAATTTTGACGAAAGATTTAGATAAAAAAGGAAAAGTAAATAAGAAAAGAGACATTGGTATTAAGATTTTTCAATTTTTCTAAAAAAAAGGCATTGGAATAAGTTGTAAAATTTTGAGATTGCAAGGAATCTCAATCTTGATAGTTAAATCATAAATAAAATAAGCAGAGATATAATGCAAATGTCTATATTAGTAAGAAATAATAGCAGCGAAATCGCTTTCGTGATTCTACAGCGATGAGTTCTACAGATGTCATAACCATTATCGCCATATGATGACATCATGTGCACATTGGAAGATGGAAAAAAAACTGCTTACGTATTCATGTGCGCGATGATTTCGATTTTTACGAGCCATTAAGCGCGACCCGCTTAGCCCGCAAAGCGATGTCGCTCGAAACAAGAGACGACAAGTTGAAAATGATTACTGAGGATGAGCTTTGCATCTAATGGGGATAAGTTTCTGCATTACTTGCTACGAACATCCATTGTCACATCGTATAGTCGATCGATTAATTATCACTCGCGATTTATGGAAATGCCTGTAAGATTTATATCGTCAAATTCTTAACAGTTTATTACTTCCTTTCATGTTAAATTAGATATGCATTCATTTGAAAATTGATAGGTCAGTGAAACTTTTTAAATTAGTTGATATTCTTGAAAGCAATATTGTTTACTGAAACCTCTGTGTATATTTAGTGGCCGGTACTTATTTATGATTTTGGTAAAAGGATCTGGAAAATATATCCTTCTTCAAAATTATTAATTCAGGCATCGGTGTTACTCAAAAATAAAATGGGGGACGATTGTAATATGCTTAACTTAATCTTCATCAAATTATATTAAACGATACGAATAATAAAATGATTATCCAGGACAATTTAAAGCAGATTAGTGATGAAAAAATTATTTGAATAAAAGAGATATTGTGTCTTTAATTCAAGCGACGTAAATAAAGCTGACGTCATTAAACTTTTTTTTTCCACGGAAAATATAAACTTAACAAGGCAACAATATTTCAAAGGACGTAATACCCTTAAGGAACCTTTAGGGGACCGATTTGAGATTTGATAGCGGGCGTGGAAACGTGCTCGAATTTCGAGTAAAAAAGTCTCCCGTTACCGATTAGCGTTTCAATCACGGGGCGTATTCAGCATCGCTAATTTCTCAAAATATTTTGACGTAAAGTACAATATATTTGCACGAGCCAGGTGTTAGTTACGGAGTCTTCGAGTTAAATATTAAATATATCCGAGTAAAAGCATTATGTTGCTTCCGCGATTGCGCTCATTCTTAAAGCCGTAGCCTTTTCAGCTTCGTTTTATAGCACGTTAGGTTCAATTTTTTGCCGATATTTTCACTCAAGCTGCGAAACGTTCCATGTCTGTGCGAAAATAACTGCCGCAGTATATGAAATCGGTGTCGAAGGAAATTTGTAAATTCTCTTTGCGGAAAATCAGTGGACGGTTAAGTTTCACTTCTACATCATTCCACATCGTGTTTCCGTACATCTTCAATTTTCCAGCAGTCTTTTTCGCGCAGCGCCGCGCTGCTATCGCCGGAGGCGGCAACGCAAGTCTCCTTTTACTTGCAGGATTCTCTGCGGTATTTTCCTTTGCCGGCAAATTGGACTATTAAGCTCGTAGCTCTCATACCTCAGAAACGCGTTTTCGCGAGAATCGCATATTTTCTCGCCCATCCGCTATTTGGGGGCTCCTTCACACTACGTTTCTGCTTCCGCCCCCCCTCCCATTTCTCCTCCCTTCCTTTCGTGCTACGTTTCCTTCCTCTCTTTCTGACTTTCGCAGCTCAAAGTGCTGCACAGTTGTTAAAACAACCAATTCTGACGGAAAGCCCCTCGTTACTAGATGTCCGCTGTTGTCGCGGGCAGCTTCTACGTGTCTGACGTAAAACATCTCGGATTCGGTAAAAGAAGACACTGTACGCATATTGTTCTAGTGAAGAAGCGTAAGTATTGTTTCATCTGATAAATATTCGTCCTCAAAGTTGCGTACAGTTGATGATGTAAAATTGCAATTTAAAAAAAAGTGTTGTCATTTACCATAGTATCTAAACCAACAAATATTAATGTTATTAACAATATTCATCGCTTTTTATACGAAACTTCTGTACAAGTAACACACGGAGAACGGCATTCTTTTATTTTAATACATAAAATTTAACACCGTAACGCTGTTTATAATAATTCGGGACCTTAAGGGGACGCTGGAGTGATTCTGCACTTTCGCACCTCTTGCACTTAAAACTGTCTGTTTCGTGGAAAGATTTGTGTAATACACATATTAAATGGCACGTGTACAGATGATCGAAAGCAGCTTGCTATTCCGGCTAAATTAAAGAACAATATGACATCGCTGAAACTAAGTTTGTAAGTCTAATAAAAAATAATAGTGAGCAACACATACATACAGTACATGTAGTATGTGTGTTGCTCACTATTATTTTTTATTAGGCTTACAAACTTAGTTTCAGTGATGCCATATTGTTCTTTCATTTGGCCGGAATAGCAAGCTGCTTTCGATCTGTACACGTAAGCCATTTAATTTGTATATTACACAAATGTTTCCGCGAACTGACAGTTTTTAGGTTAGAAAGGTGCAAAAGTGCAGAATCACTCCAGCATCCCCTTAAAGGGAATTTGGTTTTGTGCAATAAATTAACCAGCTTTGAGATATGTTAATCTAACTAATACAATATGCACACATTGAGCCATTAGGTCTCTATTGAAAGACGAATTGTGCGAGATACGCGAACAGAGATGAATGCACGCTCTATTAAGGTGCCGTGCTATCTCGATTTCTCACGTCAAATAGTAATACGTATATTTCCAATTATAATGAAATCAACAATGAGCTTTCCGATCAATTACGTTATTGCGACGATTTGTAAAGATTGTAGCTTCGTGTGAAATTTTTCGTTTTCTCGGTGTAAAATGTGTAACAGCATTAAAATATTGTACGCACGCGAACATACGCTGCACTAAAATGCGATGATCGCGATTTCGCTAATCACTCGGTCAAGTATTAATTTACTGAAATATACAGTGCTGTGGCGTTTGTTGCGTTACGAACAGAACGAAGTAATTAAAATACCCCAGTTATGTTACAATTTGTTACGCACTCGCATTGTGCAGTGTAATAAGTAGTGAACATTTAGTGCGAAACCCCAATATATGTCCAAGTTGCATTAACGAATATAAATTCACTAATTTTACATCGATCGCCCCCTCTGGATTTCACGTCTTTCGGGCATTGCATCGATAGGTATTGTTAACGTACGCCACTCTGCACAATTAGATTTTGTATATAATTTTCTTATTTAATAAGATGTTACAGTAATACGCGGGCCACTCTAGACGCGCGGAGTGACGCGTCATTAACGCTTGCCATACCCTAAACACGTTATTACAAGGAGTCTGTATTTTCAGACAGACCAACGATTGCCTCGTCGAAAGGGGCTGCGCGCGCTATGGAGCGTTTAGAGGAGTGCCAGAAGCATTCCCGTACTCCAATCCAATCATCTCGTTTCCTCTCGTATCGATTTCATCGTCCGCTAGAAATTTCCTCCGTGAAAAGAAACGCACAAGACAGCCGGGGGTGGGGAGGACAGGCGACGGAACAGGGAATTACGGCAGTAACTCGCGAGACGGACGACGAGGAGAGAATAAAACCCGGTTTCTATAAACGATTTTGAAATTGTGTGCGTCCCGGCTAGAGAAGACTGAGACGGGGCATAGCGGGACAAAAAGGAGGCGGAAGCGCGCGGGTAGCGCGGCGAAGTTAGGGAGGGACGGCGAAAATCGAAGTTGGGAGTCGGCGCGAGACACAGGGAGGCCAGGGATGTGGCTCGTATTTTTCTTGTGTAAAAAATTAAGTGCGTTCGGCCATGAAGGAGCTTGTGCTTCATTACTGGCGTTACTTGAACGCGGGAGCCTCGCACCAGCATTTTTGTCGTAAAGCGACTTCCGTTTTAAAGGCCCGCGCTATACATATTCATGTGTTTTTCGGGGCTACATGCCTCGCGTGGTAGAAGCATTGTTTCATTTTTACACAGAGCTTATATGCAAAATGACTCAATACCTTTTCTAAGCCAGGTGCGTTGCAACGACAATTGAAATTTTCATCCCCCGATTATTGCCGATCAACAATATATCGATTAACACGCGCAGATATACAGTTGGCTAAAAATCGATTGATTAGTAGAAAATATTCGTCTAGACGATTGTATATGAGCGACGGTGAGGCTAATGTAATAAGAACAAAGCGAACGCGAAGACGTAAGAAAATCTAGAGCTTTGTGCGTAGACTTTACCAAGGAGAAGAATATTATTAAAATGTAGAAACGCACGTTTTCGATTATATACCTTTGCTA